ATGCTGATCTTTGATAATTTCCAGGTGTTTTTTCAGTGATGCAAAAGCTCACATGACTTTTGATATGCAGGCAAGTAGCTCTACCCTCTGAGTAAGCGTTGTACGGTGGTCTTGCTTGACAGGTAGATGAATTCTTGCACTACTTCTATATTTCAGTGCCCATCCATTGTATATTGAAACGGGCAGATACTGTAAACCCCCTATTCCTAGAGAAAAACGTTTATGCTATTCATGTAAATTATTTATTGAAGATGAAAAACATTTTGTTCTATACTGTTCAAAGTATGACCAATTTAGATGCAATTATACTGATATATTTAATGTAAACGCATATACTAGTGATAATCCCATTAGAAAAATTGTCAATCCTACAAATATTACAACTGCTAGAAGGATCTGTTGTTTTTTGAAAAAGTGCTTTGACACCAGAAAAGAAAGTCAGCAATGAATACTTAGAAATATGTGAATATACTCTACATTATTTTGTTCAACTCACATTTGTCATTTTGTATATGTATGTATTATTCTTGTTAATTCGTTTTATGTCATGACTGTATGCCGACATGGTAATTGTCAATAAAGTGAATTGAATTGAATAATATTTCTATGTTGTTCAGTTCTTAAATATTTTTGTTGCTCTGGTATAGATCCTCATGAACTGGTCTTTCTTGTATGGTTTCTCAAAAACTCCAAAGATATAATCACAACTTTTTCTTTCTTCCAAAAGTCAGTAACATACAAAGAAGTATGACTTTTCTACACTTTATTCACTCCTCGCGATAAATTAAAAATTAAGCTTTTTGATGCCAATTACAACTGCTTCTTCAATAAAAATGGAACTCGGAATTTTTATGCCCCCGGATCGAAAGATGGAGTATATTGTTTTTGTCCTGTCTGTCTGTCTATTGTCAACTTTAACCTAGTCCATAACTATTGCGCTGTCAAGGGTAAGGCTTTAATATTTGACATGACTACTCATTATGACAAGACCTTTCCATTGCTACAGAAATTTTTGATCATGTGACCTCAACTGTGACCTTTGACCTACATTTGAAAAACTTTAACATTGGCCATAACTATTGCACTGAAGTCTACGTCCCACTCCAGAATTGTGTTACCATCGGGGGCATAGTGTTTCACAAACACATCTTGTTTCAAATCTTGTGATTGGACATCTACAAAATTACTTTGTTAAAATCACTCTGATTCTACACACAAGTATTCTGAGGTTGATATAAAAGGATGCTGGATTTCCTCATTGGCATCTATGTAGTCTTTGGAGACCAGGTCTTCCAGCATCTGTTGGAATTTCCGATGGAAACTTATTGCGCTCCTTTATTAGCCGACCCGTTGCTATATTCCTATGAAGAATTTATTTGAAAAAAAAACTTGACATGAGAAGAAGAAAACACTTACTGTGGCCTTCAACTCGACATTCAGATATACTGAGGACGTTTTCTTTTTCTTTTTAAAATTAACAATACATGTAGTTTATTCCTTTCATATGTTGACTTAATATTTCCCAGTAAACTCAAAATAAAAGACACCACAGAGTCTGTCACATCTGTTTCGTATCTGGATGTTTTACTGACTATAGACGCTAAGAGCCATCTCACATCTAAACTGTATGACAAACGAGTTGACCAGCTTTTCCATCGTCAATTTTACTAACTGTGTAGTAATATTCCACTTAACCTGCATATGTGTTTATGTTTCCCAACTTATTCGATACTCATGCTCCGAGTACGATCAATTTTTAAGACAATACAGGCTTCTGACAAATGTTAGCAAAAACCTATCATTGGGTCGTATTTTCACTGACATATTTCATATCAATAATGTATTATTGTTAGGCCTTTATTTTTATACTAAATCTAAATACGGTTTATTCTGTCTAATCAATACATAGGGCTCACAGCTGGTGTGACGGGTCGACAGGGGATGCTTACTCCTCCTAAGCACCTGATCCCTCCTCTGGAATTTCCAAGGTCCGTGTTTTATTCCCTGTACATAGATTTGTATTGCTTGTAGTTTTTTGAGATTGATTTCTGTTTATCTTCACCTATATCATTGTCCCAGTCTGGCTCCCCTTTGCATCTAGGTTGTGTGTCTTGCTCTGTACACCTTAATGACGACATGACGCAAGTGTCATGTGGTCTGCAAAGCCCAGTTCTTCTTATTTATTTGTCAGGGTCCAACTGTCTACTGATACCCTTTTTTGTGGTTGTGGTGATTTTCTTCATTACACAGTCTAGCGTGAAAGGGAATTGCGAGAGCAAACAGCCCTGTAAATCATGGAATTCTTCTGAAGAATGCGTAACAGACAACCTGGTCAGAGAAATCCACCTGCAACATCCTTATGATAGCAAACAATTCTTTTCAGGTATGTAATGGTAGTTCAGGATCTTCCATAGAGCTGGTCACTTAATGCTATCGGACGCCTAATGAATTCGTTAAATTAGACATATACTGAAGAGTTTGTTGTCTGCTCGTAGATTTGTCTGGGGGTAAATATCTGATCAGAATATAAATCCTTAACATGGGATCTTCTTTTGCTGAGATTCTGTCCAATATAACTTTTCTAGGAACTCTGTTGATGACAGATGACATAACGCCCATTAGTTGTCGCAGTTGTCGGTAGATTTACAATGAGTTCAGTCTTCCAGCATGATGGCAACTTTTTTTAAGTCCACATCTTTCCAAATATCACTGTCAGTACTTTTGGTATATGTTAGGGGTTCCTTTGTCTTCGGTATCTCTGCGTAATCTGAATCCACTCCAGACTTTTTCATTTCTAAGCCTAATGGCTGCTATTTAGACTCAATCCTGTGTTGGTGGTGCATAACCATATTGATTGATAATATTTTCTGCTGGTGTTCTGTTTGCCTCAGACTATGGATCACTTATGTGTTCCTGCCTGCATTTCAACATATTCAATCTTTAGAACGTTGGTTCCCAGAATTCTCTTTGTCTGGAAGTTCAGATGTTTGGAATTTTACTGTCAGTGTCATTGTTAGTTGGTATAAGGTCCTCATATCTTGTATCACAAACGTCCTTTCTATCTTTCAGCTTTCCCTGTTAGTTCTCATGACCGTGCACATTTCTCTACTTCTTTGTGTACTCTGTCTATATTCTTCCTTCAGCCTCTCTTTCATTTTGATCTTTGATTTTCTTCATAAAATTTTAAACCTTTTTCATTCGTTCATGTATGTGACAATGAGCACACGGTGGGTGTGACCGGTCGACATGGAATGCTTGCTCCTCCATGGCACCTGATCCCACCTCTGATAGTTTTAGAGGCCCGTGTTTGCTCTGCTCCCGATTTGTATTCTTTCATTGGACTTTTGAGCTTGATTACGGTTCGTTATCTCCATATTCCTTTCATCTATCTTCTTCAAGCATTATCTAAAATCCAATATTTTTTTCCTCTTACTTTCTTAATCATTGCATCCACATTAATGATAGGTTCAGAATAGAACAAAAGAATAGTATACACGGAAGCAGACTTTTCCCTTTTAGCATAACTCTTGGATGCAGTTTTATCCACACTTGACTTTATCGAGTAGTGAGAATATGATTACTGTAAACCAATTCGCGTGCGAGAAATATTTGCGAGTTTCGCGATCTACTTTAATTCGCGAATGTTAATCGCCGCGAACCATTTATGTAGAGAATAATTCCTCAGTCGCGAAAATTAATCGTCGCGGATTGATTTCAAATTGACGAATCGCGAATAAAAGATGACGCGATAAATAGTTGATTTACAGTATTCAAGTGAGTAGAAAATTAGTTTCTTAAACCACCTACGTCACTTTACCTGTGTGTGTGTGTGTGTTTCATATAAGGCATCGAGACTAATTTCTTCCTGTTGCAATTATCTAATAGTAGACAGACTCTCTCTCTCTCTCTCTCTCTAAGCTACAGTGCTAAAAGCTACTCTTTAGATTAGCTTTAGACTCCTAAGGATGATATGACCTTCCAGCACAAAACAAAGTGAATTCCATATGCATATACCTCATCAATTATCAAATTTTGTCTGAGATCCTTGTCCCACATGTTACCAGGTCAACAAAACTAGCGCTGTCTCGTGTGTGTCTTAAGACAGTCGCTTTATACGTTGTGGTATTACAGATTACAGACCCGTTGGAAGCAATTAAGGTTGGGGGCACTATACTGACAAAAGAGGGGGGACTCAACCGTAATTATAAACGGGGTACATCCATAAAGTACATTTGTTTTCTGCAGTATACTACAGATCGGCCAAAATTAGGGAGGGGCACGACCCAAATTATTGCACAACCCCTCCCACGACTATATGATAGGAAAAATACACTTGATGAATGTATAATAGGACTTTTTTCAGAATATGGTATTTTTTGTAGGCAAAGAAATTTATGGCTTTTTAAAGTTCCATGCATTCTCCTCCTCATCACTACCGCTTTAAAAAAGTTATGTATACAATATATAGGTAAATCACGCGTTCATCTGACGTTTCCCTAGTATTCTCGTCGGTGTGAAATGAAGAAACCAAAACCAAATTGAATAAAGCTAGTATATGGTCATTAATTGTTGAAGAAGGTTAAAAACAGGGTTGTTTTGATAGTTTCGGTTTGATTACAGAGATGACCCGTCAGTGTACTCTGTTATGTCACAGCCCCCCCCCCCCCCCCCCAATCATCGTATCATTCTAGAAGTTAATTTAAGTGCAACGTCGTCAACTTATCAGAGAGATTTTTGAGGATTTTTTTGCTACAAATATTAGTTTAAGTTATTATTTCGTTGCTCAGACAGTAGGCAAAAAACGATTTTGAAATTCATTAATTCACAAATTAAGAGATTCACAAGACAAAACGAAAGCACATGGACAACAGGGTTATCAATATATATACTAATTGTCAAGGAAGTACACACACGCGTACAACCAATTTCAAATTAATAAATTTGACGCCAAACCACTTTAAACATCACAAAATTATTTGATTAATTAAGAGAATAATTACCTGCAAGAATTACCCAGGCATACCCACGGTCCACATCTACTTTCGTCATGTTGAAATCGGGACGATCAGCTGTTATCACCTCGATATGCACACTGCATGCATACTTGTATTCCAGTGTAGTTATGCTAAAAACCACTTCATTCTAGTGTACACAGACCTGAATAATTTGTACACTTACTTTATAATCAGAACGGTCGTCAAATGGGGTTACTGAGCATTTGGTGATTCAGACAGAATTATGTGTCACAGTCATAACGTCTTAACTAATAATAATCCGAATCTGAAAGTACAATTAGTTGAGAGTCTGGACTGGACCATGAAGATTTATGAAAAACATCTTAAAATTATTTTATTCTATTGTCCTAATGTATAACTCTGTGTGTATACATTGTTATTTCCATTCCTAAAATAGCTTACTGGAATTTTAAATCCCTTAATAACTTAAAAACATATATATGCATACGCTCTGTAATTCAAATTCGAATTTTAAAAATTGTGTGTCGGGAGGGAGGAGGACTAGCTAGTTGTAAATTGCGCACATTACTAAAAGGCCCTTAAAAAAGAAACAGATTTCTACTCAAGTATAAATATGTAATAGTTAATATTAGATTGTGGCTAAATTATTATTATTGATTTAAAAAGTCTAATTAGTAATGTTGCAATTGTTTAGTTTGAAATAAAAGAAATTTAATTTTTATAAATATGTCCATCAAATGGACTTTTTTTTAATAACAAGGTCAAAAGACTAAAGCACCAACACGAAATTAGCCCGATCTCTTCAATCAGCCTGATCCTAACTAGAACTACTGGCGCCAAGCCTGGTAAACCGTCATACCAAGTTGACTTTAATTAGAATATCGGTCACTCGTCCAAAAAGAAAAATCGTATAAAAAGATCTTTAAATATATTATGACATGTGTCTTCGGCATAAAACCGTTATCATGTTTATGGATGGAAGTCAATGCGGCTAAGTAACTCTAAGAATCGTCAGGACATCTATTGACCCCCCCCCCCCCCGCCCCGCGCTCAAATAGGAGTATGGAAAATGTGAGTTAAAGAACAGAACTAACACTATTTATATATTTAATAAAAATGCCACTGCAGGCCCGTAGCAAGGGTTTCAAAAGGGGGAGGGGCTTCCCCCCCCAAAAAAAAATTATGAAAAAAAATTAAAATAAGATTAAAAAAAATTATCTACTGTACAAATCCTAGAATTCGCCAGTATTCGACCTTACAATTTAACATACATCAAAAAGTGGGGGGGGGGGGGTGTGGTGGACAAGCATCTAAGGAAAAATTTACTATAGCAAAATGCTATACTCAGTAAAAAGTGGTGGGGGCGCCCCCCCCCCCCCCCCGGGTTCTACGGGCCTGCACGGAGCTTTAAGATATGAAAGAAAATGCAAAAAACAGCAAATGAGCAAGGCACTCCAACTGTTAAGATAGGGTTATTTACCCCCATCCCCATCCCTGAACATGTTACTGTAAAGCTTTCAGTGTAAATATTTTATTTTTTTATTTATTTATTATTCCAAATAAGGGTCCTTTTGAGCATATTACATACATGATTATTAAACAGAACATTTAGTTTGATAATTATTCACAAAATGTGATAATAGTAGTATTCAGCATATTCTTAACTGATACATGTATATATGAGTCAATTTACACATGGTTCATAAGTTGAGATAATTGCTAACGTGTAAAATTTAAAATACACATTGTAAAGTATAAACAAGTACCACCGTGTACCATAATGCAAAAATGCTAGAGATATACAAAAATATATACTGAATAGATATATTCCACTAAATTGCAAAAGATAAGAGATGCATTGGTACTTTATAAGTCACCATGTTTGCATATCTTATGACCAAACTAACATTCATTGAGTGTTAAAAGTATATATATATTTTTTAATTCTATATACATGTAGAAGACACATTATATTTCTCCCTTGATATTTCAACACCTTCACTTCCCTATTTTGCTGAAAATGATCTCGTGAGATGGCGTTTGCTGATTCCGGATCATATTGTTCCATGATGTGGGTTCCGAGTTTTAGGTTTAAATCATGGCGGACACCGGGCAGAAAGTAGAGCTGGAACTGTTGTTCTTTGATACATTTTCACATGAAAATGCCGAGGTTTGTGACATGTGATATTCTTTTTAAACATGCATTCCTTTTCCTGATAAGATATATAGAACTTATCGTAATACATTTTTTTCAAGAGATATTCACACCTAAAGCCTAGTTTCACTTTGAAAACGTGGACCACAGAATAAATGAATCTGATTTGCTAACAAATCTTAAATTAGGAAGTAATATATAGCTTTTTTTGAATTATTTTAATACTTCTTTGAAAAGTTTATTTGGAAGACATTAAATCGCCTGATTTTATGCAAAACAAAGCATGTTTTTCAAAATTTGAATTTGAATTATCAAGCTATTTTGAATAGCTTAATAAAGCTATATAGCATTTCAAGCTATATAGCTAAATCAAAAGACTGTGCTGGACCTGTTGTATATTTCATGAAAACTTTTTGAAAAGCGAAGTGTTTGATTTTTTTTGTTTTGACATTTAAGAAAGAAAAATCTTTGCAAACATTTTCGTAGTGTCATAAATTGAATAAGTTGTGCATATAAATAGAACACATGCTAGATTGTTATGAAAATGTATATACACCTCATGCTATTACGACATAATAAAAAGTAAAAATTATTATTTATGTTCCTTATTTATTTTTTATCTTTTTCTTCTTAAATGTTTTATTGCTGAGTGTCCCTGATGCTCTAAAAAGTTTGGAAGAAAAAGCAATAATGGAATGCAAATGTTTACACAGCAACAATACAATTTTAAATTATTAAGTATAGTCACTTCCTGCCTGGAAACTTTGTATGTTGCCTTTTGTTTTGGATTTGTGTAATCTAGAAATGTATTTTATTGGTAGCACATGCAAGACTTAACATTTAAGAACCCTCTATACACTGTACACTAAAGAGTTCTTATTTCATGGTATTATTATACAGATAGAGAGATAGAGTGATCTGCCCTTAGATCTAAAATGAAATAAATTGAAATGTAAAGTTTATTACCCAATTTGTAATCAATTCAAGCATTCTAAATATTTCATTTGGCCTAGATGAATTAATTGAACACTTTATGTGCATTTACAGTCCTTATTTAAGTAAGCAACAGTGATTTCAGTTCAACAACACTTCATTTTTTAGAAATATTTTTCCTGGAGGTAATGGCAGGTACCCTATGTTAAAAATTAAATAGCTAAACTCCATATTTACATCTTTACATGATATAATTTCCTCAGAGTCAAAAAAAAAAATCATTGGTGTATAGAGGGTCCTTAATGTGTATCAAATTATAGGAGCTAAATCTGGACCTTGTCCAGTTCCCAAGACCAGTTTTGATCCAGGAAGTAAGAATTATCCCACTGCAGACCAGAGTTCAAGCTGATGTCCCAGGAGGTGTTAGACTAGGGTCAGTGAGACAACATAATTTTTTAAGGTTCCTTGTCACTCAGAGAAGTAACTCTCACTAGGATTTTCTTTTTGTCAATTTAAAATGCCCTTTTCTGTCAGATTTCCCCATACAAGGTATACTGAAATTATGTGTATTGTAAATAAGATTTCTTTTGAAAAATCAGTATTGAAGCAAAATTTTAATTGAGTGAACAGAGGGTTGATGAACCTTAGAATTATTGAAATGTGTTCACATGTTGGTAGCTCTACTGGTCAGAGACCAGAGGAGCTTATACAATAGTAAGGTGTCTGTTGTCCGTCTGTAAAAAACTATTTCAAGATGCTACTCCCCCTTTGTTTTGGTCTGATTTCAATATAACTTGGTATACAGATAGACTACACTAAGATACATGAAGAGTTTCCATGTTAACTAAAAGTAGAGATTTCTGTGAAATTCTTTCTAAGTGTTACTTCTACTACAGTTTTTGTCTAATTGCAATTGATTCAGAAAAATACCAAACCAAGGATCATTATATTATTTACTGCAGTTGCCATAGTTTCAAGTCCAAGTGCTACCTTTCTCTACTTTTGTTATGTAAAAACCAGAAGAGCTACAGTCTCATCAGGACTTTTGTTTTGTGTGTGTGTGTTTTAAGAAAAAAAAATGAGAAAAATAAGTAAAATATCAATTTCATGACAAAAGATATAAATGTTTAATTGATTTGTAGAGCAACAAATCCATCCTCGTTTGCACTGGAGCTGTACGTGAATAATTTAAATCGACCTAATGCTGCCACATTTGAGAAGCTAGGAGTGTAAGTTAAGCTTCATAGATTTATAGAAACTCTGGTTAAGTCACACTTAAATTTTATCTTGATCATACCACAGGCAAAATAAAATTTCTTATCATAAAATAATTGTGCATTTACAAATGCACAATACCCTAATATTTACAAGTACTTTATTACTTTCAGCATTAATTACAAAGAAAATGTGGACATACAGATGAAAACAGATGCCGAGGTTTGTGTATATTTCATTCAAAACCTTAATTTAAAGGTTTATCTTCTTTCATACTTAACTAGGAGTAGGATTTGGTTAAGTCCAGAAATGATTCTAAAGTATATACATGTACATGTATCAAACTTTTTTCTCATACTCCAATTCTGGAATATGGCCAAAGGGAGTAAACAAGATAATTGAATTCCCTAACAGTTTATTTCTGTTATCAAAATCAAATTTTTTTAGTACAGTGATGACCATAAGAAAACATGTCATGAAAAAACATTTTGTTGTATGGAAAGTATTTCTTTACATGTGCCTATAAAAAAGTAATGTCTCTAAGTTAAATGAAAAGCAAAATTTATGAATTTTTATCTGAAAAGATACAATCAAGGTATAGTTGAAAAGTACTTTAAGTGAGTATATATATATATATTTACTTTTAGCTGACACTAAATTTGGCATATGACAAATAGTTTTTGTGATGAAAGTTAATATTTTGTGTACATTCTGTTGTAATATTTAATTTTATAATACCAGATTTCTGATACTTACATTATAGATTCATGGCATTTTTTGGCATGTTTATATTTCAGAACATCCATTGTACATTGAATCCCTAACAGTATTAAACCTTGATAAAAAGTAGATGATTTTTTTTTTTATCCTAAAGGTTCCCACAGATGGACTGATTCTAAAGGGATGGTATAACACGCTGACTGTGGCTATTTATGGGTCACTTACTGTGGTCAAACCAGAGACTGTATCACCTCCTCCCCCTCCTCCCCCACAGCCCAGAGTTAAACTACGTAAGTGTGTCTCTGTCGTAGTGGTCCATTGCATTTTCTCTCATCAAAGCTTTACTAAAAATATAGTATAAAGTATTATGATCTTAAGAAAGTTGTATTAAAGATTTATTGTCAGAAGCATTCCTAATGATGCAGTATGGAAAAGATATATCCAAACTATTATTACATTATTTATCAAAATTTAGCTGTTGATGTGAGAGGAAGCCAAGCTTCAGAACCACCTAGTAGACCAGAATGGGAACCGCCACGCCAAGGGACCAAACCCCAACAGCAGCACCCACTGGACTATATAAACCAACAGGTACAGGCTGCCCAGGCAGCAGCCCAAGCTGCTCAGGCTCACATACCCCCCACCCAGGGCATCCCTCCCTCACAGGGTATCATGGCACCAGGGATACTCCAGCCAGTGGTACCACCTCCATCTAAACCAGATATCTACCCAGACCAGTATCACCAGCAGTCTCAACACAGGCCCGACTTCATGGCCAGCCCTAACAAAGGTCTGGAGCCAAGGGAAGGTCATTACGACCCAAGGGGAGAGCCAAGACCTGGAAAAGATGGACAGTTTGGAGGCAAACCTTATGAGGAGCAAGACTATAGAGGAGGCAGCAGAGAGAGAGAAACCTCTAGAGACAGAGATGTGAGAAGGGAAAGTGATAGGGAACATAAGCAAAAAGAATGGGAGAGATTTAGAGAAAGGGAAAGAGAACGCTCAAGGGAGAAGGAAAGAGAATTCAAAGAAGGTGAAACTAGAGACTATCCAAGGAGTCCTTCTAGAAGGAGATCGTGGTCAAGATCACAGTCCAGATCAAGGTCTAGGTCATATTCAAGATCACCAAGAAGAACACCTTCAAGATCACCACGACGATCAGCATCAAGATCACCAAGGAGGTCAGTTAGGTCTTTGTCACATTCTCCAAGATCTTACTCCAGGTCACCTCAAAGGAGGTCCAGGTCACCTCAGAGAAGGTCAAGGTCACCAATAAGATCAAGATCCAGAACACCTATTAGATCTAGGTCAAGGTCATATACACCAGAAAGACAGAACATGGCAACACCTAGATCACCCATGCAGACTCCTTTGTCTCCCAGGTCAAGGTCACAATCTCATGAGCAAGAGTCCCCCATTCGACCTATTCCAAGACATCCTAGAGATCCTTCACCTCAGTTCTTCAGAGAGCCATCCCCCACACAGGAGGAGATCATGGAGGCAGGCAAGTACTCAACATCAAAAAAAAAACAAAACAAAAACAAAAAAAAAGTAAAAAAAAAAAAAAACACACACACACAAAAAATTAAAAGTCAAATTGAAGCAATAATTATAATTGCCTCTTTGCCCTCCTCTATTTTTAGGTGAAGTGATTGATGAGGTTGGAGATGACACGCTGTTTGAGCCTCTGTCGCCTGATGCTGTAGGATATTCAGATCAGGATGAACTTCAGGTTTGCAAATTTTTTGAGTGTCAAGTACATTAGCACTCAATTTAACATAGCTAGAGAAGAAATTTTGCAGGTTTTACTAATCTTATTTTTCAGGATGTTGACAGAGACTATGAAAGCATATCATCAGGTGATGAGCTGCCAAACATGGATGAACTTGATCCTGATTTACAGGTATGAATTAATACAAGTGCATTATTTATTTCAGTCTCAATAGGACACAAGAATCTGTTATAAATTCATTTTACTGTAATATGAATGGGTTAATAATTTCAGGACTTTGAGGAAATTGATGAATCTTGTACTTTTCCTACAGTATTCAATCCTTTTACCAAGGAATGCACCCCTTTACAGGTAGGATAATGGAATCATTTTACTTAGAAAGACAAAATAAGACAAAGATGAGGAATATAAGCTAGATGAAATTCATGAATGAATTTTAATAAATTTTGCATAAATGGATATTATTAGTCGCCAATTTTGATGATGTTCATGCAAAAGAATTTACTTGAGACAGATATACCAAACTATTTTGTGATTTTACAGACCTTCCCAGATGTGACTATGACAGAGTATGAACTAGAAAAACAGAAGCTAGAGAATGACCCAAACAGTCAAACGGAGTGTCCTCCAGAGGCCAAGGTCATTCTATCTGTGATAGACCAGTTCCTGGGAGCTGACCACCATGATAAGTAAGTCTGAACAGATTCATTTCTTCAGACAGTCCATAATAAAAGTCTTTACATATGTTCTTCAAGTTTTGAGTAACAAGATTATTTTTTAAGTAAATATAATTCTTCTAGCTTCATGATGCAAACGCATTTTTATTGTAGATGGATCATTGTCTTGGAAGAACTGCCAGCAAATTTTGCCAAGGGTTTATCTTGGTTGTTTGTAAAAGAGAACAGGAAAGGTAACTATTTCAGAGTATTGTATACTTTTCATATTTATTCTCTATGAAAGGTTGATAAATTTACAGATATGTAAACACAAAATCTTTTTTTAAATGGTATTGCTGGATTGCAAAGTCCAGTATTTATATAATTCAATTAAACAAAATGAATAAGAGAGATTTGTGTAATATACCTATAATGAGATGAATGCTGAGGCCAAGTTAAACTTCATTGGTGATACATGCAGTAAAATCATCTTCCCATCCTTACCACCATGTGAAGTTCAGTAATACAAGGTCATCAACAGAGCTATACCAATCTTAAGGTCAATTCAGATGGCAAGTTTGAAAATGTGTCATAATTAACCAGTGTGTCAGTGTGACATAGTGGGAGGTTGATGATAAACATGGTTCATTGTTAAAGATTAAGTATAACCAGTGTGGTGTTATTTGAAACATCTCGTCTTGATCTTTCTATCTGGGAAATAAATAAAAATCAATCTTGGAAATAAATCTGGGAAAAAAGATTATTACTTAAGGTCCTCAGCAACAGAGTTGTTGAGTATCAATTTCAAGGCAGTGGTATTACAAGAATGTCATCCTGATTTACATGTTTTTGATGTTAGAATATCTTAATCACATGTACATATATATCACCTCAAACAAATACAAATGTTTATCATCAAGGTCAGAGGCCAAAGCAAAGGTCAACCCTGATGGTGTATATTTCAAAAATATCACTGTAATTTTACTATATGTGAAATGTAAAATGCTTTGCATAGCATTTCGAACCAAAATGAAAGTAGTGCCTAGTTAATATTGATAACTTCTTGATATTGTCTGGAATAGAAGATTTTGGAATTACTAAATTATTTAAATGATAAGAATCAGTTCCCCATAGTCATTTAGAGGGGAAGTAATTAGGCTACTGACATTTAGATTAATGAGATGCCACCAATAGTTTTCATTCCGAGACACCACATCACAATAACCCCGAATTTATCATCCAGATATTGTGGAAACATTGATTGACTGGATGTTAGAGGGACTGGATGAAGAGAAAGCAATGAACCAACCAGAAGGGGCGTTTAAAGTTCGCCACCTTAAGATGGGCATCACATTGGCGGGGGCTCTCTGTTCATGTGAACCAGATCTTTGTGTTCAAGCTTTGGTAAAATTTCTCTTGTTGGTTTTAAATTTGATAACCAGTTTATTGATATGTAGTGAAAATGTTATCCTTTCATTTAACATTATTCTGATGTCATCTAAACATTGAACTGATGTCTTCTAAACATTGTACTAAACATGCTTGTAATGTTTAAAAAATCTAAAACAAATGAAAGAGAAAACTTGATGCTAATTTTGTTTATGTTTATAAATCACTTTGTAGGCAAGAGGTGTCCAGACTAAGTTAATCAAGCTACTGGAATCACCTTTCATGTCTTTCTCCTTAAAAGTACAAATTGTGAGAGCTTTGGACCAGACCACATACTTTATAGATGGCATACAGTGGTTGCTGGGGATACATGATATACAGAAAGACGTCAAGGTGGAAGGAGAAAAGGAAACTGATTTCCAAAGAATTCTAAACTTGATGCTGGGAAAACAGGTAAATTATCCATGACAGGAGAAATCTTGTTGTTTTGCATGACTGGAAAATTAAAGCAATGTACATAATGTCACAGTAGTCTGAATGAAATAAATCCACAGAGTATGAAATTTTGATACTCATTAATTATTTTTTCCAGAACATCAGAGTAATTGTAGCTCTAACAGCATTTGTAAAGAAGATCAACACATTTGAGCTACTTCAGAAGATGAATACAGAAGTGAAAAGGTCTGCTTTACAAAAGACATGTCAGAGGAATGTAAACCCAAAGAAATCACGAAAGAAAAAGAATTATTAAAGGACTTATCACATGATCTTTCAAAAATCATAATTTTATGAAAAATATTATCTACAACCTTGTTTATTAAAATACTGAATGCAAAAAAACGTTGATGAAAGCATATTTTAAGAGATATTGAGAGTTGAAATTCAAATACGGCAATATGCACATTTCAGTCGGATTTTGGCGAAATACTGCTATCAACGACAAATGCAGCTTAATTACAAAAAATGCTGAAAAAAAATAATTCCTAACATGCTTTTTATTAACTATAGAAACATTTACTAGTTCTAAGGAATAAGGCTTTTGAGATATTTTCGTTTTTTATTCCAAACATTTAGAATCTGTTGCTCTGATTAAGGCAATGTTTCGTGATTGGAAAATTATTTTGCAAGACCGCCACCCTTTACAAAACATGTGTAAATTAATGTTATGCTAAAAACAAAGAATAACAAATATAATATTAAATGTGTGAACCAAATAAGTTTTTACTTGTGATAAGATGATTAATCAATTGTATTGTGATGACGACTTTCTTCGTCTTCGCCGTTAACAGATTTTTCAGATTTTTTCTTGCTGACAGTTCTAAAATATAAGGTTAGACATTCAATTTTATATCGATAAAATCAGTGATTTGGTCATCCACAATGCAGAAAATTCGGTTGTATCGCGTATATTTTAATAAGATTAACATGAAGAGCTGATCAGCCATTGTTGCCTTTGACATCACAGGGTCACATGATCGCTATCTAATTAACTTAGATTTTTAATTCAGGGGTTTTCATTTGAGTCAATAATTGGTTAATTACTGCAGTTTGTCCGCAGTAAAAACACTTAAGTTTATAAACTGTGGTCATAAGGAACGTTTTACGCTATTAATTTCAAATAATTGAGAATCATGCGATAAGTCCTTTAAGATATACTTTCCAGAAAAAATTGCAGCATTTTAAATATACCCATTTTTTTTAGTATAATGGAGGCCACACCCCCAGAAGAGAAGAGAGAGGAGAGCAGTGACCAGGAGATGGAGCCACTGTCTGATGAAGGGGTCATCAGTGAGATCACTGTAGAAAATGTTATATCCTACATCAAGGAAGCCACCAAGCTGTTTAGGATTGCTCTACACATGATTGTAAACCCATTTTAGTCACAATATTTAAGATTAAGAAATACAGTACATGTGTTCTCCTGACAATATGTACATGTATATTTTGGTGTTTTGATAGTTGGATTTTTTTTCCATTTTGAAAAACCTTATAACTGTTTATTATGGCATTATAATTTCTTTCAAAGGCCCAGCCAAGCAGGAGTTTGCCAGGAAAGGCCATGTTCACAAAGAGACCTCCTGCCATTGATCCTTACCCTGGTCTATACAACATTGCCCAGTACTGGTAAGACATCACTTGTGAGAATGATCAGCATACTAAAGCTGCAAATAGCTAGTGATAGTACCTGATTACAGTTTATTTGTAATAAACACATGAGTCTTTATTTTAGTGGTACCTTGGACTGCTTGTTTCATTTGTTGTCTAATCCCTTGACTTTTGGCCATCCCCAACTGTTTGCAGTCATACAGGACTGTGTACGATCACTTCTCCAGAGCCAGCATGGTCTGAAGTTCTTATTCTCCAAGATAGACACCACCAATGGCATCATCAAGTGTTTGTTACAGGTGAGATTTTTTGTAAACAGTTATTTTTTTTTTAACTGTTTTGTCCTGTGGGGATTGAGTTGCTTCATAATCATACAATTTTGTACAGGATGATGGTCAGGATGATGGGGAGGAGAACCCTATTCAGCATCTCGGAGCCGAGATGGTTATGTATCTGAAAACTCTGCAGTGTATTGATGAAATCAGAAATTTCCAGGCCAGAGGTGGGTTATCTGTCATTTCAGAAGATAATTTGAAAAAAAAACAAATTTAAAGCATCAACCAAATATAATTATTAGGAAAATGACAAAATGTAGTCTTGTTCAAAGAAATGCATATTTGTGTGAAAAATTGTTTAAGAAATATATAAGTGTAAATTTATTTCTCATAACAGTGTGTATGCAATTTCTTTCACCAAATTAAGTTTCCACCATAAATGTATAGATACAAAATTTTATATTCTTTCAAAACAGTTGTAATCTCAGTTTGTTAGAAATTGTAGTTTAATGCATGATGATTTGTATACAGAATTCTATTTTTATCCAACAAAGATTTATTTGAAATTTTTTTTCCAGCTCCAAAGGAACAAGAGAATGCAGACATTATTCCCACATTACATGAGTTGTACACAATCACCTTCACACCTCCGGGACGCCAGGCAGTCATTGAAGTCCTCTGTATGGAGAAAAATCTAGAAACATTACTGCAGCTGGTGGAAAAGAAAGGTAAATCATTTATCCAGTATTTCATGGAATTATAAGCTTATTTGAGGATATTTATAATAACTAGGGGGTGGGACGATAGAGAAAGCTTGCAAAATGATACGTATCTCGATACATGTAGTATGATATGATACATGTATCTCGATATTATAATAAATTAGAAAATAATAAAATTTTTGTTTTTACAAAGTCTCGGATGTAAATTTCCGTACACCCGACTTGAGGCAGGGGTAAATAAAGGGGTGTCAAAATGCATAGTTTCTCTATCACAAAAAGCTATTAAATAACATGATGTCACAATGCATTGTAGCACTTAGTAAACCTCATTGATAGCTTGAGACACCATTGGCTGGACTTGGGTTTACAAAGAATTTATTTGGTTACATAGGAAATAAATATGTTATCCAGGTCCAGTCAATGGAGTACGAGGATTTACCCCGAGTTGTATTCTATACACCCTTCAGCCTTAGGGTGTATGGAATACAACCCAGGGTAAATCCCGTATACCCTTGATTGGACCTAGATAACTAATATTATTTCCTATGTAGCTTGTAACACAAGCTTTGATTGGTTACAAAGTCGGGTGTAAATTTCCAGGGGGGTAAAAATCGTGACGTCACAATGCATTGTTTCTCTATGATAAAAAGCAAATAACATGACGTCATGATGCATTGTAGGACGTAGTAAATCTTGTCAATAGCTTGTAGCACAGTTGATTGGACTTGTTTACAAAGAATTTATTTGGGTACATAGGAAATTAATCGTGGCCAAAGGGTGTATGAAATAGCTAGGGGTGAAATGATACGCCTCCTTCACGATACGATACGTATCGTGTAATTTTGTCTCGGTACGGTCATTTTTGATACAATAGAAAGAAACAAATTTAACGTTGTTTTATGTTTTGTTTCACTAAATCCTGTCACTGAATCTATGTGCAAATTGACTAGAAGAAATTAATTAGAATGATTTGACTGTTAAAGATTGTTTTAAAAACTACCAGTCCTCAAAAATTTACGTTTTTAAAATCAAATTATGCCAAGTAGCGTGTTTTTACTTATGCCAAACCTGACTGAGTAACGATCCCGACCAAAAAATGAACCGAACCGAAAATCGAGATTTTGTACCATGTATCAAACCGAGAAAAAATACTGCGGTGAATCGATACCGCGGTGAACAGTTTCACCCCTTCCCCAGCTGTGGAAAGGATACTTTAAATTTCTGTATATAACACGCTATACAGACTGGACGACTTCTGTAAACTTTTCTTGTTCCATATTCTGAGGTTGCTACGAAGCTAATATGTTTCTATATCTATGACTTAATAGTACAATGCCTGTTTTCAATATCAATGTCATCTCTTGCTTTGTTTACAAGTTGCTATTTTTTACTTTCATTTTCAAGTCATTCATGTATCGTTTCGTACCAATATTTCAGTGCATGTATCGTAAACCGTATCTTAGCAGGAAATATTGGAATGTGTCGCAGTATCAGTATTTCATCCCACCTCTAGTAATAACATGCAGATGGTCATTGTCATAGTCCCATCTCTTACAGCTTCCCTGATTATTTTATGAAACATATGGGTCTGGGTAATAAGCATGTTGATTGTTTGATTACTGAAAACTTTTTCTGTGAGGGGGGTAAGGGGGGATGAAAGTTACTAAAATATTCTCTTAATTTCTAGCAATATTATCCCCCCTTTTTTAATTGAAAAACAAAAGTTAGAAGGGAAAAATTTATCTGTTTATTTATTTAGAGAGTACCATAAATTTCATGCAATGAATTGTAATAAAGTTTACGACACGTTGATTACAGGAGAGGAGGACAAGGATAAGAGGAAGAAGTCTGTCGTCGTAGCCTACGCAATCTCTGTTATTCTGACCACCATTAGACACGTCACTGATATGTCTGTTCTGGAGACATTCGGAGCCAGGCTCGTGGCTCTAAGTGAGGAGGGTAAGTCATTCAGTTATTCTGACCACCATTAGACATGTCACTGATATGTCTGTTCTGGAAACATTCGGGGCCAGACTTGAGGCTCTAAGTGAGGAGGGTAAGTCATTAGATTAGACAAGTCACTGATATGTCTGTTCTGGAGACATTCAGGGCTAGGCTCATTGCTCTAAGTGAGGAGGGTAATTCACTCAGGTGTTTTGTCCCTAAAAATATGACATACAGTCAAACTTGTATTTAGTTATTTATCAAGTGAGATTCTAAAATGAGAAAATATTCTATTTTCTGCAAATAGAGGAGAAAAAGCAAAAAACTAAGCATTTACTTTTGTTATTGAAAGCAGGGCTGTAAGTAGCTAGATTCCTTTAGGACAGAAAATGGTGGTTGCGTGTCACATTAGAAAGGTAGTCGCTGAATGCAGGTAGAATAAAATGACAAATTCTTGGGAGAAAATTTAACAGTCACATATGTCAAGAAGTTGCTAGATACAGGTGGTTGCTATGACAGGTTTTACTGTGTTTAAGTTGTTAGAAAACTTATTTTTAATGATGATTATTAAAGTGCATCTCTAATGTCCAGCATTCTTTGAAAACAAAAGATCTCCCCCATGTATATTTATAGGCTTTCTGGATAGGGAAAAATGGTGTGTATTCTCACTTGCTATTGGCATACTTGTCTGACTATCAATGTTAATGAATTGTGTTCTTGTAGACTTTAGTAGCAAGCTGTTGGAAATTCAAGAGTGGTTGCTTCCCCTGAAGACAGTGACAGATCTGACACAAGATGGTGTTGCTGCAGTAGTGGGCCACCTTAAGCAATACACAGAAGATCTCCAGAAGGTACCACGAGGCCTGATCACAACCATGAGAATCCTCCGCCACATGGCCATTGCCCCAGAAAATCCCTACCCTGAAGGTTATTATAACTTTAAAACATAAATGAATTTAGTATGGAGTAATATTCAGTGTTTTTAGATCATATTTGGACAACTTTCATAGCATTTCTTGATTGGTAAAAAAAAAAATTTCTTTGACAGATGCACCCGAGGAATTAAAATTCAAGTATGCCTTAGTGGAGATGTACAGCTTAGACTGCCTCAGTATTTTTACAACAGTATTGCAGGTAGAAAACTGAATACATCAGATAATATTTCTCTGATAATTAGAAAGAGGCTAAAATGTTTACAATTTTATAAATTTATAAAAGATTTTCTTGTGTCACCCTAGTACAAAACTTAAACAAAGAATTTTATAAAATGAAGTTGTTCTTCATGAATGTAAACAACTGTTGTTTCATTTGATATCGCAGAAAGTGTCGGAGATCCTTCTACGTCCATGGCAGAGAGGGATACCTCAGAGTTCAGAACAGATCACTTATCACCTGTCGGTGGTTAGACCTACCCTAGAGATTGTACAACATACACTGTGTTACCTGATCAAGGCCAGGAGTACAGAGGTATGTATCACATATCACCTATCTGTGGTTAGATCTACCCTAGAGATTGTACAACATACACTGTGTTACCTGATCAAGGCCAGGAGTACAGAGGTATGTATCACATATCACCTGTCTGTGGTTAGACCTACACTAGAGATTGTACAACATACACTGTGTTACCTGATCAAGGCCAGGAGTACAGAGGTATGTATCACATATCACCTGTCTGTGGTTAGACCTACCCTAGATATTGTACAACATACACTGTGTTACCTGATCAAGGCCAGGAGTACAGAGGTATGTATCACATATCACCTGTCTGTGGTTATACCTACCCTAGATATTGTACAACATACACTGTGTTACCTGATCAAGGCCAGGAGTACAGAGGTATGTATCACATATCACCTGTCTGTGTAGACCTACACTAGAGATTGTACAACATACACTGTGTTACCTGATCAAGGCCAGGAGTACAGAGGCATGTATTACATATCACCTGTCTGTGTAGACCTACACTAGAGATTGTACAACATTCATTGGGTTACCTAATATAGGCTAGGGGTAGAGAGGTATCATGTCTTATTTACTTTCTACATTTAATCACTAACTGGGCTTAAGTTCATGTACATTTAGCTAATTGAAGATACATGTATTTTATGAGTTAGCTTTTGATGTTCGTGTACAGAGACATGTATACTGAGACTCAAGCGCTTGCTACATAGTAAAGGAACATTTGATACATGTAAATGATAAATAAAGAATACCTGGTAATGTTTTTGAAGTTTAAGGACCTAACTAGTCTACCTGTGCAGTCTGATTATTTAATCATTAATTAAGTGTACCAGGTAATGTTTTTTAGTTTAAGGACCTGACGAGTTTACCTGTCCTGTTTGAGTTACACACTGTTCTTTGTTCTGTTCCATTATCATCAAACCACATGGATGAACTGCAAGAGGTAACACATCTTTAAAATCAGTCATTGCTAATATTGATTGAGAAAATGTTTCCATATCACTGTTTGATGATGCCATTGTTTATCATTAGATACAGAAGATGATCCTGGATACTTTGTTGGCATATACACAACCATTGCCTGCTCAAGCTGAGACTGATGAAGGTAAAAAAAACATTATTATTGTAAACTGTTCTCTAAAGGAAAAAATATATATAAATTAAGCAAGAAGTATAGAATTTATGATTGAAGAACTGCAGTGAACTATTGATAAAATTATTATTTTGCGTGTTTTTTCCCCAGTTTTGAGTGAGAGTTTATGGACAAAGACACTGAAAGAGTTGCTGAAGTATACAACAAAAGCCCCGTACACTTATCTGAGTGGTTTGTTGATCCTGTCTGAGATGTTACCCCTTCCCCTCCCCATACAGACAAAGGAGGTTCTGTATCCTGTTTATCTTTGTTTATAAATAGAAAGAACATATATATCCATGTCATTCCATCAAAGAATATGCTGCTATACATACATACTGTATACAGGGAAATTTTCACCTCCATTTTATAATCACCCTAAACACAAGTGGGAAAATTTAAGATGGGGCAAATAAAAGAATTGTGACTAGGCAAATTTTAAAATGGGATAAAATTGTTTGCAAGTGTGTAAAGGTGAAAATAACACAGGGTGAAAATAACCCTGTATACTGTACATGTATTCATAATAACCCTACTATAAGAATCATATTAAACATGGTTGAAAATAGAACAGAGAAAGAAAAATATTTCAAACTTATATAATGATTGAAAAGTTATGGTTTGGTTTGCTATAGCCTTTGTCTGAGGAGGAAGTGAATATAACGATTAACAACAGGAAGTTATGGAGCGTCCATCTTCACTGCCTGAGCCAGCAGATCCAGGAGATGATCCAAATCCTAGCTACATCCACCTGTCAGCCATTACAGCTTGTCCTACGTAGGGTGTGCTGGCAGCTCTCAGATCTCTCCGCTGCCAGTGCCTTCATGGTAGCCAGGTATGTCCATTTCCAAAAATATTTATGTCTGCATCCTCTGAAGTGTAAAACAGGCATTATCAAACAGAACAAATAGTTTGATGCCACATTATGAATGCTTTTGTTCCTATGCTGCAGGTGCATATTAGACATGGTTGTGGAGAGTTTTTCTACATTGAGACGACCCCCAGAAAAAAAAGATGAAGGGGAAACTACTGAAGACAGGGTGGAGAGAGTTGCCTCCCCCTATGCCAGTAAAATGCTTAATCTATTGGCCTTTGTTTTATCACAGCCATCTGTAAAATGTGCATCTGTGCAGCTGATGACTCAAAATGGGTATGTTGTCTTCTAGGAAATATTTGTGAATTACTTTTATCTCAAAGATTCATCAGTTTTGTGTACCGATAGATGTACATGATAGTATGACTTTTGGTTATTTCTCCTACATTTACTGTATTTGAATAAAAGTTGATTTTAATTCACAATGACACTTTATCTGTTATCTACATTTCCAATTTTTATTGATGATTTTAATGAAATATTTTTGACATTTTATTGTCTAACTGCAGTGCTGATTCAGAAACATCCAAGTATGGAGAACTATTGCCTCAGATGCTAGAGATAATGAACACAGTTTGTGAGACAAACTCCCACATAACGAGCCAGGAGTGTATAGTGGCAAGTTTTAACAGAAATTGTTATTCTTGAACACACAAATCAGTTTTTCAATTAGTCTTAAACACAAATAAAAGTCTGTAGATTGTTAATTAGAAATGAAATTATAATGTGAAGAAGATTTTACATTGAATGAGAATCAGTACATGGTAAAGATAATTATTTTTGTTTTTATTGTTTCTTTCAGTCAATCATCCAGAGTTTATGTGACCCTGAAGTGGCTCTAGTGATGGGAGAAAACACCTCTGTGCAAGAACAGGTGTTGTAACCATAGAGACATTTCTACTAACTTTCCTGTAACTTTATCTTCTATAATAATCCTCTTGACAGCATTCAAAGTACTCATGCACTATACCTCTGCTTGTGTTATTGGCCATAAAAAATATGTTAAATGACTTACCATTACATCCATCTAAATATTGGTTTTGTTGTTTCTTTAAAATGTCATTTAAATTAATAGTTACATTTTATGATATTTTGTGGACATTGAGACAGTAAGAAGAGAACACACATCTTTATAAGCTCATTGAAAAGATACTGTAAATATATCTGAACATTTTAATAAGTTTTTCTTTCATAAAAATATAGTTTGAGTTTTAACCCTAGATTGCCCTTGCCCTGCCTAATGGGAACTACATGACCCAGATAACGACAGCCCTGCTGGACCACATGGGAAGTCCTGATCACAGCTATGCTTCCATTCTACCTTGTGTTAGGACTCTGGTCATGTTAACAGACCATGACTATGGATTCTACTACTTAAAGAGGTAAGAAAATAGTCATATTGAATTTGCTGTTTAGAGCCTCATTCCTCAGAGTCTGCACTTAAGGTGTGAATTTATATATTCTGAAGTCTCTTAGCTTTAGGTTTTTTAGGTCACCTGAGTCACTCAGGTGACCTATTGCTATCCATTTTCATCCGTCGTCGTGCGACGTGCGTTAACATTTGAACATTTTTAGCTTCTTCTCTGAAAGCGCTTAACCAATTTCAACCAAATTTGGAAAAAGGCATCTATGGGTGAAGGGAAACAAAAATTGTGAATTTCATGGTCCCTGCCCTCGGGTCTCTTGTTGAGGGTTTGGATATCATTCCAAACTTTATATTGAAAGATACATGAAAAGACATGTAAATTGAATAATGTTTCAAAACATGTTGTTGCCAGATACATGTACTGAGGTGAACATTAAAGACTATTAGATCTTTCACTGATCAATATCTTTCAGTGTGTTGGAGCAGAAGACAACTGCCATTGGTCGTCTGATGGTTCGAATCAACACGACCTTCAGCAAGGACAGTTCTGACTGTCTCTCCACCTTATCCACATTGCTGGAGTTCCTCCGCCTGCTGATGACGGTGGAGCAGCCATCTAATGAGGAGTTAACTTCGCCTCGGACCTACACTCTCTCCCAACAAGAATTACAGGAGGTTCTGTCCTGGAACCCCAGTATGGAGAACCACCCCCTGCTGGATCTAGAGAAACTAGTGGAGGTACTGTATAAATATTAGTGTAAATTAATAGAATCAAAGGGACTCAGCATGGAGAACCACCCCCTGCTGGACCTAGAGAAACTAGTGGAGGTACTGTATAAATATTAGTGTAAATTAATAGAATCAAAGGGACTCAGCATGGAGAACCACCCCCTGCTGGACCTAGAGAAACTAGTGGAGGTACTGTATAAATATTAGTGTAAATTAATAGGATCAAAGGGACTCAGCATGGAGAACCACCCCCTGCTGGACCTAGAGAAACTAGTGGAGGTACTGTATAAATATTAGTGTAAATTAATAGGATCAAAGGGACTCAGCATGGAGAACCACCCCCTGCTGGACCTAGAGAAACTAGTGGAGGTACAGTATAAATGCATGTATTAATGTAAATTAATAGAATCAAAGAACCCCACCATGGACAACCACCTCTAACTGGTGGTGTACAGTATCAATATTAGTGTAGATTTACATGGATTGATATTTAGAAAGCTTATAATTGCAAAATTTGTGTATTGAAAGATTGTAAATGTTGAGATGAAGTTGGCATTCATGTTTCCATTTGAATCTAACTTGAGCAGGAGAGTGCCAAGGATGAGGAGACATTGGAAAGTTTATATGAGAGTATGACAGGACTGATGAAGATGTTGAGAGAGCCTGAAGGCAAGGAGAAAAAGGGTACGTAAATAAACTTCACCTCTTCTGGTAATGGAGCAAGCTAGTAAATTTTACTTAATCAGTAAATGGGATAACTTTAATGTTTGAAATTCTTGTTAACATTACAATGTTTCAAGCTAGCTCTTTTTTAAAGGGACAGCACCCACCCCTTTTCTTGTGACTCCATGTGCTTTAATTTCCCTTGATACAATGCCTTTTCTTCTAACCCCAACTAGAAGCTCAAGTGATTTTTTCTGATTGACAATTGTTCTACATACATGTATGGACGGGCACTACAGGGGTCAGTGTTTTACAAAGGAATATTATGGAAAAATCAAATCTTTTAAAGAACAGAGTCACAATTAGTCACAGCAATATGCAAGCATTCTCAAGTAGTGTAGAATCAAGGTTGTTCATGTCATAGCCCTTAGTGATGGGGTAGGGCCGCAAAAAAAATGTGGAAATACATACACATATGAAATAAGGTGTAAAAAAAAATTTCTTTTCTTGAACACCAGGGGAATGCAAGCAACCTCTTATAGTGTAGATTTTAGCCTGTTCAAATTATGACCTCCTGGGGCTGTGATGAGGCCCTGATATGGAATCGAAAGTTTTACTTGGGATTTTATAAGCAAAGCCTTACCAAGCATGGACACACTTCATGGCACCAGTGCCCTATTCTTTAAAAATTTTATTGTGGAACACTCATCTACAATTTGCTTGTTTCTTGCAGTATTAACAGAGCCGCCAGCAGTGGTGGAGTCCCTTAGTAATCTGTACAATAAGAGGACTGTGTTCATTGTTACTGACATTGAGGATGAGAGACTGAATCCTGAGTACTGGCTGTCTAATCCTTCAATGGATGTGGCCGACATTGAGCCTGACTTGACAATGGCTAACATGCAGGAGATGTGTAGAAAGTACTGCCCGGAATTTAACCTGGAGGAGGAGCTTAAAAAGACAGTGATCACTTCACAGGCTGAGGTCACTAAACCGAGGAGAATCAAAATAGGGTAAAGGCCGAGAAAACATTAATGGGAAATATTATTATTGAACTTTTGATGTCATTTCCTTTCTTTCCAATGTTTGTTTCTTTTCAGGGATAGGAGAAAATCACAGGAGATCAGCATTTATAGAGGCAGGGGTGCCAAAAGACCATTTGGTGAGTTGTAGCATAAAAAGGGTGAATTGAACTTTCAAAATATGATCTGGGTGCTCACAAAAATATTAAAATATAGATAAAAATATGTAATATTTTATTACAGTGGCTCCAATGCGAGGCCGTGGAATTGCCAGAGGAATGATGGGAGCTAGTGGTAGAATGGACTCGTTCCGTACTCGCACTCCAAACACCAGCCGACCACCATCCATGCATGTGGATGATTTCATGAAGTTAGAGAAAGGACAAGATGACAGAGACTCTGACACTGTGTCACCAATCAGAAGAGTAGACTCCCTTATACAAAGGGTAATGGTTGCCTCTTATTTGCTTTTATGTTTTATCTTTCTTCTTTTTTTTTGACATTTAAGAGATAAATTTAATTTTTGAGAATTCATGAGGACATGAACTACGACGCTTCACGCCGGCATATTTCATGAAGCATGTTAGCACTTCATGATAAATATGCAGGTGTGAAGCATTGTAGTTCATGTACATGTACCTCATGAATTCTCAAATATTAAATTCATATCTTATATTTATATTTTTCTGATGACTTGCCACATATTTTTGTCATTCAACAACCATTTTTGAAAAAAAAAGTTTGTGCTATTTTTTTGACTGCAGTTACATCACAATGGAAATATTCTTACTCATCCCACAGTAGTTCATGAGAACGTAAACTTTTTCTAACTTGCAAAGAATCTTAAGGAAAAATATTTGGAAATGTAAATATATGAAGATAAACATGTATGAATGTTTAATACATATATAAACAGCAATAAAATAAGAAATAAATTCAATCTGTATAACCAGTACAACATTTTTTATTGTATCTATCATTGTAAAGCAAATACATATACTTACTAGGATGGTACCAGAAACACAGGAAGGGGGAGGAGTAACTTTGATAGGGGAGGTAATCGTGGAAATAGAGGGAGAAGCAGCTTCTTCACTCCCCCTGGAACCTATGGACGACGAGAGTCCAACAACATTTATGGTAAAAAAAAATATCAGATTTATACTACCTGCTTAAGGGGAAAATTAGCATTTTCGTGTATTATTTTGGTAACAGTTTCATCATTGATTTGTTTTCTCTAATCTTTGTAGTTGGAGGAGGGGGAATCAATACAATAAGTACAAGTGGGGGCAGCAGGGGAGGGTACAACAACAGCCGACCCAAACAGCAGAGCTTTGACAGCTTTGGTCGAGTGTGAGTAATAAAACACAATCTCTCTTAAATGGACTGGATTAATACAGATGATTTTTTTTTGAATTTTTAGGTCACCTGAGTCACTCAGGTGACCTATTGCTATCCGTTCTCGTCCGTCGGCGTGCGTCGTGTGTTAACATTTGAACATTTTTAGCTTCTTCTCTGAAACCGCTCAACCAATTTCAACCAAATTTGGCATATAGCATCTATGGGTGAAGGGGAACAAAAATTGTGAATTTCATGGTCCCTGCCCCCTGGGGCCTGAGGGGTGGGGCTAAAACCACCAAAAATAATGCAATCTTTAAAAATCTTCTTCTTTACTCCAGGACATCAAGCAGTCAAACTGTTGGCATCATTGTAACAAGCATTGAGCCCTCTACCAAAATTGTGAAATTCATGGCCCCAGGGTCAGGGGTTCTGGCCCCAGGGTGGGGCTATGTAGATCATATAGTGAAAGTGCATTATTTCTTTGAAAATCTTCTTCTCTGCTCCTGGGTATTAAATAAAGTAACTAAGTACATAGTTATGAAGAGCAAGAGAGCCTCTTCCAAAATTGTGAAATTCATGGCCCCAGGGTCAGGGGTTCTGGTGTTAGGGCGGGGCTCTATTGATTATATAGTGAAAATGCATTAATTCTTTGAAAATCTTCTTCTGTGCTCCTGGGTATTAAATAAAGTACGGTGCTACCTTGGTATATTGCCCTCCGTTATATTGCCACCCTTGCTTATTGCCAAGAATTCTCAAAGAACGGATTTCCCCCTTTTGTTAATACACCCGTTATATTGCCACCCCCGCTTATTGCCATCCGCCACTGGTTTTGGGAAACAAAAGGTCAAATTATATAAGGAAAACCCTCGAGAACAATGCCAATTACCTAGAGCGGGTCGGTAATTTGGACAATACACCCGTGCTTTGACAGTGGTTGCGGTGAAGTGTAACGGGCTGGACAAGGAATTCAGCTAAATTAAAAATAATTGGTGAATAAAACTCAAAATTAGCAATGTCTTTGGTGTGTTTTTTATAAGATAGAAGAATTATTTCATCACAGTAATGGAAACGTCAGGCAAGAGAAAGCGTACAAATTTAGATTACGAGAAAAAAAATTGATTGATCAACCTTCAATCTATTTGATTGTAAATCGCCGATTATTGCTTATCATGGATAATGCATCAAACCATAATAAATGCAAATATTCATTTGTGTCCCCTTAGATTAAGAAGCCAGTCTATCGATCAAAAGGAAATCCCACCTCTATTTTTAGACTACTATAATTCCGCACGTGAAAATATTAAGGATTCCAGGTTACCCCTGAATTTTTTTCATAAATTGTTGGGCACAGATTGGGTTGATTGATAAATATCAAATAGAATTGGAAGAGAAGTACACAGGTACCAGCAAACATAAGAATGCATGTTTATTACAACAGGTTGACGTACTCTGACACGTGACTTGCCATTTGTCATGACACTTTACCAACCGAACTTTTTAACTGATTCAGAAATTCTTGAGACAGTGAAAAAAATCTACTTTCGATTCAGATGAGATTAATAATAATTCTCAAAACTGTTTTAATACCGAGAGGCTATAACGGCTACTGACATCTTTGTTATCAGGTTATTAAATTCTTAGAGCATGGCGAAAGAGCAGGGAATTGAAAGATGTTCAATATTCTGACATTTTATTTCTTTTCAGTAAAAATATTGTAAACCAAAAAAATAATGACTTCTTTTTCAAAAAGAAACGAGAGCTTCCCGTATACGTATGTGCACAAGCATGACATTGACAGACTGTAACTGAAATGAATTACGTAAACTATTTATTTTGCTTTGATTACCCACTGAATTGTAATTTATGGCAGAATTCGTTATATTGCCACCCTCGCTATAATGCCAAAATCTGCCTTGGACAAAAGCTGGCAATATACCGAGGTAGCACTGTAACTAAGTACATAGTTATGATGAGCAAGAATGCCTCTACCAAAATTGTGAAATTTATGGCCCCAGGGTCAGGGGTTCTGGCCCCAGGGTGGGGCTATATAGATCATATAGTGAAAGTGTATTATTTCTTTGAAAATCTTCTTCTGTGCTGCTGGGTATTAAATAAAGTAAATAAGAACATAGTTATGATGAGCAAGAATGCCTCTTCTGAAATTGTGAATTTCATGGCCCCAGGGTGGGGCTATATAGATCATATAGTGAAAGTGCATTATTTCTTTGAAAATCCTCTTCTGTGCTCCTGGGTATTAAATAAAGTAACTAAGTACATAGTTATGATGAGCAAGAATGCCTCTTCTGAAATTGTGAAATTCATGGCCCCAGGGTCAGGGGTTCTGGCCCCAGGGTGGGGCTATATAGATCATATAGTGAAAGTGCATTATTTCTTTGAAAATCTTCTTCTGTGCTGCTGGGTATTAAATAAAGTAACTAAGTACATAGTTATGATGAGCAAGAATGCCTCTTCTGAAATTGTGAATTTCATGGCCCCAGGGTCAGGGGTTCTGGTGTTAGGGCGGGGCTCTATTGACTATACAGTGAAAATGCATTAATTCTTTGAAAATCTTCTCCTCTGCTCCTGGGCATTAGGGTGATAAACTAAGTACATAGTTATGATGAGGAGGTGGGCCTCTTCCAAAATTGTGAAAGCCATTGCCCCTGGGTCAGGGGTTCTGATGTTAGGGTGGGGCTCTATTGATTATATAGTGAAAATGCATTAATTCTTTGAAAATCTTCTTCTCTGCTCCTGGGTATTATTTAAACAAACAAAGTGCATGGTTATGATGCATAAGGATGCCTTTTCAAAAATTGTGAATTTCATGGCCCCAGGGTCAGGGGTTCTGGTGTTAGGGCGGGGCTCTATTGATTATATAGTGAAAATGCATTGATTCTTTGAAAATCTTCTTCTCTGCTACTGGAGATTATATAAACAAACTAAGTGCATGGTTTTGATGCATAAGGATGCCTTTTCAAAAATTGTGAATTTCATGGCCCCAGGGTCAGGGGTCCTGGTGTTAGGGCAGCGCTCTATTGATTATATAGTGAAAATGCATTGATTCTTTGAAAATCTTCTTCTCTGCTACTGGAGATTATCTAAACAAACTAAGTGCAAGATTATGATAGGCAAGGATGCCTCTTCCAAAATTTTTAAATATATGGCCTTAGTTTTTGGGGTTCTTGAGGAAAGGGGGGGGGCTCTATTGATTATATAGTGAGAAAGCATTAATTCTATTAATTAATCAGTAATTAATCCTGTCTGCTCCTTAGTGTTGAGCTGATAAATAAATTGCTTAGCTATGATGAAAATGGGAGCTTCGAACAGAATTTTTAAATCTTGTGGTCCTAGGGTCAGGGGTTCTGGCATAATGGGGGGGGGGGGGGCTTTTGAATTTCTTGACCCTTGGTCTTGGGTTCTGGTGTTAGGGTAAGGCTTTGTTGAATCTGTAGTGAAAATGCATTGTACCTGTGAAATTCTTCTCTGCTTCTGGGCATATCGGAAGAAAACTGAGTAAAAGTTTAAATGATATAAGTAAGCGTATTTCTACGAGATTTTTGAACATCTGGACCATTTGTCTAAGCATTCTAGTCCTGGGCAGGGCTCTATTAATTTGTATTCTACTGAGAGAAGTTATTCCCCTTTTCCGTTCACCTTTGATAATTAATCACTGTAAATAATGTATTTGAAAGGTTAATAGAATAAGATAATTATGCAAGAATGTTTATCATATAATTCAAAAAGTATTTTCTTAGTTTTAATAATCAGGTAGACCTGTAAGTAATAGATAAATAAAAATGAGACAAAAATAACTTATCTTATTAAAAGTTCTTCAAAGACCATAAGAGAGGTCAATACTAGAGGTCTTAATATGGGTTTAAAAAGAGTACAGAAGCACTAATAGTTTGTTAATAGTCTGCATGGTGATAGTGTTAATGGGGGGACAGGTTAGAACTTAATTTATGAGTTGATACTGAATACTAGACTAAATTGTTGTATTATACTCAGGTGACCGTTAAGGCCCTTGGGCCTCTTGTTCAAACACCAATGTTCCATTTTCAGGCTTCACCCAGTATCTACTGAGAGGCCAATGAACACAGGGCGTGACTTCCGTTTTGCTACTCAAGTCAGTAGTAGTGGTCTGTATCATGCGAGAGACACCAGCCAGCAGACAGGGAGGTAATATCATCGGACTGTCCGGTCTCCTCTATTTTGTTCTTATGTTAAACTTTATCTCTTTCATGTTTTATGTTACTAATGCACAGACCTGATGATTTGTCAGTAAGATGAACGACTTATACCTTTCGTGGTTTTCTAGCTATGTTGATATTAATGATTGTTTCAGGTTTGTGGGAGGTGGTTTTCGAGGCCAGAGAGATAATAATGCAGACAGAGGAAGGCATGCCAGGTCCTTCACAAAGTGAGGCGAGGAACAACAAAGAAAGACAATATAAAATTAGCTTCACAAAGTGAACTAGATACAAATACCGTTACTGACATTTGATGTTGGTGATATGCTTTGTTAGAGATTGCATTCAGTGTTGTATAGCTGTTTAGATAAACTTATACTTGTCTGTTAATTAATGGAAACTCCAAGAATTATTCATAAAGGGTCCATTGTTAGGACCACTTTTACATTTCAAATCTTTGAACAAAGAAGAAAAAGTATTTAAAGGCAGATTAAAAAAACTGAAGAAAAAAATTGCATATTGGTTATAGATTCATTGAATCCATTTATGACATTCTTATTTGTGACATTATTCCTAAAAAACCTATATGCAAATATAATCACACTGTGACCAATTCAAAACAAGTACATGTGTTTTTACTTGAAACAGTCAAAAAACTTCCTGAATACTATAATATTTCACCAAATGTTAAGATTGTTTTCTTTATGACACTTCTGTCCTGACAGGTACCTTTATGAAATATAACCAGAAGTAAAATAATCAACACACATTAATATACTATTTATTGACAGACTTGATCAATATCACATGTGATACAATGAACTTGTGCAAAATACTATAATAAAACTCAATGTTCCAACAGTTGTTTTTTTTTCATTATCTTTCATTATCTTATCTGTGAGAACAGACATAGACTGCTTATTGTGGATTCCAGATCACAATTTGTATTGAGTTGCCTTTCCTGTGTTATCAAAATGAATCCTGCTGTCAGGTGATATGGTCCACTAAATATCACAATGGAATCAAGGAGGCTTCATCTTAGATATAGTAACTGTCGGAATAACCCTTCATGTCCTATTTTCCAGCCCCTTGTGACCTATATTCCAAACTTGGCTGGGGTTCTCCTTGGGGTACTTGGCTCATTTCTACCAGGGGTAGCTATTTCTCTTCTGAAAAAAAAAATCAATTTGACAATGGTTAAATGTGTTCAGATTTAGATACTGAAGATCTGTAAATAGACTAGTACTAATTGATTTCAGTATCCCAGATGATTTCCACCAAGTAAACCAGAGTCATTGTAAGGGAGATAATTCTATGTGCTGCAAATAATAACAAAATGCAGAAATTACAGGGAATGTGTCTGAAACCACAGCTCTATGATTATGGAATATAAAGACAAAATCCATTTTCTTGAGTAGTATCTGTGAAAATGGTCATTTCTACCAATGGATGTACAGTACAAAATATTTAAAATATGTTACGGGTACATTCCTGATCATGTCTGTGACTTCTCTTTTTTACAAGAACTACAATAACAGAATTTTGTCACCCTGTCTGAGCATATACATGAATGACTATAATCACATTATAATTTACTATGACATCCAAACTACCTGTATGTCTGAGGTAATAATATCTGAGAAGTATTGAAAGCAGTTTTTAAGAAGGAAGACAGGCTGTCGATTAAGTATACCTTTTGACGTATGCTGCTTCTTTCTTCTCCTGCTCCTCTTTCCGTGCCTTTATCAGATCTGTCGCTCTCTTCATTTCGTCCTCCATGGCACTCATTTCTTGTTCCGCAATCTTCTTCCTCTCCTGACGAGACTTGGTAGAGTCTTTAATAGAGTAGAACATGGGACCAAGTTCTGCTAACCAGTGTCCATCTACAGCGGTCACACACTGCATGTACTCCTGTAAAGATGGTATCAAAAATTGAAAATCATGTATGATACACTACAGATATACATATCAGTAGATACATCATATTTTTAGGTAGCCTGAGTTACTCAGGTGACCCATTGCTGTTTTCGTCGGTGGTCATGCATCATGTGTTAAAATTTGAACATTTTCAACTTCTCCAGAGCAGCTGAACCAATTTCAGCCAATTTTGGCACATAGCATCTATGGGTAAAGGGGAACAAAAATTATGAATTTCATGGTTCCCACCCCCTTGGGCCTGAGGAGTGGGGTTAAAACAATCAAAATTAATGCAATCTTTAAAATTTTATCTTAAATCTTCACTTTTGGACATCCAGCAATCAAACTGCTGGCATGATTGTAATAAGCATTCAGCCCTCTACCAAAATTGTGAAATTCATGGCCCCAAGGTCAGGGGTTCTGGAGTTTGGTAATTAAATGTAGGGTGGGCTCTATTGATCAATTAGTGAAAATGCATAAATTCTTTAAAAAGCCTCTTCTTTCCTCCTGTATATTTAGCAGAGGCCTGTTCAACAGCTTGAGCACTCGCGAACATTTCTGTTGGAGGTATAAAAAAGTTTGGTGAGTGCTTGCGAACGTTTGCGCTGTTGAACAGACCTCTGATAAACTAAATGCATGGTTATGATGAGCAAGGATGTCATTTTTAAAATTGTAAAATTCATGGCCCCAGGGTCAGGGTTCTAGTGTTAGGATGGGGCTCTATTGATTATACATCAAAAATGCATTATCTCTTTGAAAATCCTCTCTGCTCCTAAGAGATTGTTATGATGGCAATGGGGTCTCTTCCTAAATGTGAAATTTATGACCCCAGGGTCAGGAATTTTGGTGTTAGAGTGGGGCTCTATTGATCATATAGTGAAAATGCACAAATTCTTTAAGCTATATATGGCGTATCTGAGCTAAAAAATAAAAATACAAGACTGAGTGTAGATAAACATGATATATGTTATTTACGTTCAAATTAAAATTTTCACTGATTTTGAACTTGAGTAACCTTGTTCTAAGAACAAAAATTTGTAATTTATAATACAAAAGATGTATTTTTGAAACATTGATGCCCCCATATGACAATATTAAAGTTTCTCAATTGCAAGCCAAACTCCAAGGTCAAAAGGTCAAAAATGTTGGTACCCAAAGAAGGAATATACAAATGAAAGCCTTGCACCAACCTCACAGAAATTACATGTGAAATATGAAAGCCCAAGCTTCAACCAATCAAAAGTTATGGAAAAGGTTAATTTTTTTTTGCATACAGAAGACTGAAAGCTACATGCCCTCAAAATCTTTGATTATGGGGGCATAATAAGTATTTTCATTTTTTTTTTAATGGTCAGATAGATTTGTGAATAATAAAAGAATAAAATTGATACAAAAATACTAGGGATGTCAACGAGTACCTGGTTAACCGGGTACTCGATCGAACGTCTGAGTATCGAATACTAAAAATGGTATTCGGTTACTTGGAAGTGTATTTTTTCTTATTTCAAAGTACATATTTTTGTAAAAAAATTATCAAAAAAAACCCCTTAAAACTGCATACGGTTGTTAGCGTGTCGTCATGTACACCTGTAATTCACCCTTTATCGCCTGTGGCTGTGTATATACAGTAATTAGTGACCTATTATGGTCTTTAATTTTTGGATGGCTTCAATGACTGCTTTCAGTGAACATCAATTAAGTATGGTCTATTGTCTTCAAATCATTTTTAAATTATTTAGTTAATATTTGGCAGCGAAATCTGACATGCATAGAAATGCTGCTACCCACTTCAAAAGCGAAGAAATGTTTAGAAATAATTCAGGATTCAAAAAAATGTTGAAAGTCAGTTTGTGAAGTAAGTTTATACGAGGGAAACAACCAGCTTATACTAGCGATTCCAACAACGTCCGTCCCGTCCCTTTGGCTAGTCTATTCATCACAAACCTGCGTAAAAGATTGTTCTCCTGTTGCATTGATGAAATAGATCCTAGACAAGAACTGTAAACCATTTTGTAATTTTTGATGTATTGTGTCTTTTGTGTTTATTTGATAAATAAATTTAGTACCAAAAAAATCAATCCCATTGGACTCGATGTTTATATGTATACATTTATAAACGTGAAAAAAAAACAGCCTTTGAGGTTTGACAGAGCTTAACGTAGCTCAAGAAAATTAACACACGTGTTTACATTTTTACATGTACCGAGTACCTGGGTACTCGATCGGAAAAACGTCCGAGTAACCGATTATCAAAAATTGACCGATTTGACATCCCTAAAAAATACATATGTTATCTAAAGACAAGGAGAGGAGGCCAGTGGGAGAGGAGATGTGATGGATAATAATATCTTTGTTCAAGCACTATTGAATAGTAGGCATGGGTGATAGAAACAAATGGGAGTGCACTAGCACTGGCAAGTACAGACAAGCAATAGATCTACTCTCTGATTTGCTACTGAGTACTACTAGACTTTCTATTTTGGTTACCCCTCTTCACCCAATTTCTCTTAATTAACAACTGTCAGTTTATTTTATTTTATATTTCTGGATTCTGTACAGTGTTGTATTATACTCAGGTGACTGTCAAGGGCCTTGGGCCTCTAGTTATCATTTTCCAGTTCTTAATTAAAATACCTATTATTTTAATTTTGCTTTTTTTAATCTCTCTCTCCTCCTCTCTTTTAGTGAGCATCCCAAAGATAAACAACCTCTCTGGGTGAACAAAAGTCTAAGGCTTATAGAAAATTTTGAAAATTGGGGAGAAAATTGCAAGAGAGGGTACACAACATTTCAAGTTAATTCAATGTTACCAGTTTATAAATGTTCCTCAAAGGTGAAAGTTTATTTTGATGTAATTAACTAAAAGATATATCAGAAACAAATTTTTATTAAATTGAGGCTCATTTTCAGTGATATTTTGATCAAGATGTTCTTTAAGGCATCCTGCTCAAGAAAAAGTTTGGTTACCCTCCCTTTCAACTAACTTTGTAACAGGAAAATTTTTCGAAGTTATCTCTCTATGCCAATTCACTCTTGAAATCCTAGGAATCTACCTAGCTCAGCTCCCTATCAGAATGACATGATTGAATATTATAATATATAAATTGTCTGATATAGGTTAACCTACACTAGAATGTTTCCCCTTTAGTATTCCTTAGTAGTGCACCTGTTGCAATTCATGAATAGAATTATTAAAATTGGGTGAAGGGATTATTGTTTGGACAGTGTTTATCTGAAATAAACATTTAACATTAAAAGAAATGTATCAATGGTGATTTCCTTCCACTTTGAAGTACTTTCACTGTCATGCAAACTGACTCATGTTTACTGTGTAAATGAGGGATTTGAACAGTTCAAATGTTCATAACTGTGTCATATTATTTTCAGTAATACCACTTCCATGAATATATATATAATGTACTATAATATATCAGTTATTGTGTGCTTATATGTAAGACTACAATTTCCATTGTTCTCCAGTTCCTCCGTTTATCAGAAGACCTTTTATGAG